TGCACGAGGTGGTTGTGTCGATTTCAGCTTGTGGCAGGGAGCAATCTATGTAGATGGGCGCTTGTCCGTTGCAAACAGTTACGGAGTTGGTGGCGCGGGTAGGCTTGTGAGGCATGGTTGGGTTCACGTAGTGTTCGTAGCTTGGTAGGCCCGCAGAGGTGCCGCTAACCTTTTAAAGAAGCATGGCTATGTGTCTACCTTGTGTCTGACAACGATGGGTGAGTTCACTATTTTTGTTGGAAAGCGTGCGACAGTTCCACTGTAGGATCAATGGCGCGCTCACCGAGGCCTCCGAAAATATTGCGATGCTGTTCGTGGGGTTCATCATTCTGTGTCCAGGGTGGAGGCGTGGAGATGGTGGTGATGATCATGGATTTGAGCTCAGCCACGATTTTTGGGGCGGGGGCCGTCAGGGCTGCCCTGATTTCGCCCTGGATAGCTACACGAAGCGTTTCATCCAGTTGCGTTGGGGGCGGCGGTGGTGCTGTATTCAAAGGTCGATCGCGGTTGATATTTTTCCGCACAGACGACACCAAATCTTCGGTATTGACGTTTGTAGACGTTGCCCACCGAAAGAACAGGGGCGGGAACTCCTCTTTCCCTCCGAAATGTGGCTGTGATGATTGAGTGTCTGATAGTTGTCGGGCAGTACTAGTATTCTTCTGTGGGGTTCGGCTTTCGTCAGATGTTCTCTTCATTTCTGGACTAGCCTTCCCCAGACTTGAGAGCAGTTCTTTAACCAGTGGAGTGAAGGTGTGATGAAGGATAATTTCCGTCGCTACGCACACACTTTTGGTGGAAGTCATTCAGCACCTCTGCGGAATTTCTCGAGTGACCGCACATGCACCGCGCTGGTGTCGCGGCCCCTCTCGGAAGTGCCCAGAAGAGAGGAGAGGAGCAGCAGCGTGCGCCTGAGGCGAACTGGGAGGGGGACGGCTGCGATCACGCGGGGAGACCGGGAGCCGAGGCTGGTTGGGGTCGGCTGCCAGAGAAATATGCGGGAGGGTCGGGTGAGTCCCACTAGCTGTTTTGCAGGGGAGGCTGTGTGTTTCCGTGTGATGCCTTCCGCTGTTGTCATTCCCACTCCGGCTTCTCTTAGACGCGTTGGGGGTGGACCCGTTTGTGTAAAGACGTTCGTCTTCCCTCTGGTGTTCTTCGTGGAGCAGCGAGGCAAGCGGTGGCCAACTTACTGCTTCCGTCCGTCGCATATATCGATGTCGCAAAAAGAAGGCTCGCTCCGTGCAGGCCCAAAATGCTCCCCGAGAGGATGATACCGGCAAACCAAAAGGCTCGACATGCCGACCTCCAGTAATCGCTGTCCGCAATTGGGACCGCTCACTGGGTGACGGCACAAATCGGCAGCGCATCTTCCGTCTCCCGCTATCTCCTTGGCTGCACCGTATGAGTTGCCGATTGCGGCCACAGTTTGACGATGATGGGTGCCCCCGAGTATTCATGTCTCCACGAATCCAGGTGTCCCTGCGTCTCGAGGAGGATCTCTCTCCTCGCCGGTGCGACACCGCTGCACCGCGGCACCGAGTGTGGGTGGTGGGTTTGTGGCACACGGAGAGATCTGCCTTCCGGCTCGGTGATTCGTGACCTGCATGGAGTGCACGCGCAAAGGTAGGTTTGCCTCTACAAGGGTTGTTTTCTGCTTGTGGTGGTTCCGATATTGATATTGATGTGAGCGGGAGCACCTCCATGGAGGCTTGCCTTTCGTGATGGCGATCCGTTTTAGCCGTTTTTTGTTCTTTAGTCGGACAAACCCTGTACCAGCGCGGGCCCAGGGTCACGTGATCAGGCATACTTGGGCCTTCAAAAAGACGAAGATTGATGTACCTTTTTCTTACGGGGCGATGTCCAGAAACGTACCTTCTGTCTACACCTGATTCCGAATCACCTGTAGAGAGTGTTCGTGGGCCATGGCATGCACTGTTCCCACGGAGGCGTTTCTCGACGGAGCTGGGAAAGCGCGCACCGGACTTTGGACGAGGTTGCGGATAAGCAGACGCCTGTTTCTTGTTTCAATGTATATACGTTTCAACCGCTAGGATTTTTTTGGAAGTATTTAGTGGGATGTTTGTGACGGTCGTCTTCCTGAAAGCGCTTCTGATTTTTTTAGAAATTTTGCTCCGTTGTGTTGCTTCGAATGGGCGACTTTCAAACGAGGGATGAAAAAACACGGTGTAGAGTTTATCATTTTGGTCTGTTGGCTTTTTGAGTTTTTTCTCCGATCGGTGTCACCAGCGTGTAGCCCTCCTGGGTGAGGAATTCGGCAGGCGGAACCCCGCATGGACGGCGCTCACTTGGCGGATCGTGACTGTTTGTTGCTGCTCCTCCGACGTTAGGCTCCCCGTCGGGATTGTCCCCCCAAGGCACTCAAAGCTGTTCGTTGTCGGCACGTTCACTCCCGTTGTTTCGGCGTTGTTGGTGCTTAACCTCGCGTTTCTCGTTTATTACCCTCTCCACGGGCATGGGGATGGGGCGGGGGACGGAGGAAGCCTCTCGCCAAGTCGAAGACGTTCCCGGTGAGTCTGGGGCACGGCCGGGGATGAAGGGGGGAGTCGCAGGAGGCGCTTGTTCCCGCTCTCCATTTTCCGAAATGGGTGACGTCGGCCGAGTTGGAGGGAAGGGGGGGGCGTGGCCTTTCTGCAGGCACCCCGGCAGGCCGGCATAGTCCGGGCTTCAATCTCGACGACCGTTGGGGCAGCCGTCCTGGGCGCTGGCGCTCCCGAGTCAATCTTTTTTAATGACGGGATGCTGACGATAGGTGGTCTTGGGCTCGGTAGCCTCCCATGAACCGTTCCGTTTTGTGTCCATGGGAGTCGCTGGAGCGTGGGCGCCTCGAGGACAGAGCGGTCGGGGGTGAAGGCGTCTTGGACTCCCTGGAGCATCACGTCGATGGGGGCCATGTTTGATTTGGCCGGCGTCTTAAGTTTCCTTTCTATAGCACCTCCGGGTCCCTAATCCGAAAGTGGGTCTCATAATTTACGTTGTGTTTTTTCTACGCGTTTGCGCTTTGCTTTGGGCGAACTGATTGATATAAAACCTTCAGAGACTATGTCGAATTGAATAAAAGGATGGGAGCTCATGTGAAGGCGGTTGAGCCAAGCTGGCGTTATTAGTTCATATTTCAATGCCCGGGTGACCATGAATTTAACCAAGCAATGTGTTTTAAGCAAGCTTCTTCAGTATTATGAAGAAAATAGATTGATAAGTAGAATTTATATTGTGCAGTTTATAAAACTCACTTCAATGGTGTGCAATAGGACAATCCATCAAGGGCAGCTTAGAATCATAATTGCTGATATAAGCATTTGAAACTTTTATGAATACAATGCAAAAACGATTCTCCTAAATTATTTGCATGTGCACATGGCAGGCACATAGTGCTAATTCAACAAATGAGTTTTTATAAAATGGTAACGAGTGAGTTGGTTATTCACATAGAAGGGCAAACACTGAGGAAGACAAATATGAAGATAGACAAAACAGGGTGCTTTGCGTAAAGAAAGAGACTTTATGTATAAATGCATAAGGGAGAAAAGCACCAGGTATTTTATTTTGACTAGTTCAAGTCACCTTTTTACATGATCGATTGTGAAGATGTGCAAATTTATATTCCGAGAGCTTCACTGTCCCAGACAACAGGGACCAGTGAGTTTAGATGCGACTTGAAACTACGAAAGCTCAAATATTGCCCCCAATGTGGATGCTGTAGCTTATTTTCTGACCCCAACAGCCAAGTTTCCACCTGTGACCCAAGTTGTTATAGTTGTTAGAAAAAAACGCACAGGTGGAGTGAGAATATTTTAGTTCATAAAGATAATATGCAATAAATGCAGTCAAGGTCATAAAGAGGTTAACTGGAAAGCTGTATTTTTTTGTGAATTATTTCGATTATGCACTCCCCAAGTGACTTCGGTTTCAGTTTTCGGTTTGGAGATCCAGAGGCTGTTCAAACTGGTCATTGTGCCTCACGTTTTTAGGATATTGGCTTACTGGGGCATATATACTGTAGACAAGTTACCTAAGCATGTGGAGGGGCACATAAAATAAAAATGGCTGTGGCTGCAGAGCTACCTTCGAACACCACAGTGTGAAACTCAAGTCTGTTTGGGGCATGCTGAATATTCTCAACGAGGGTAGAGAGCACTTCCGTCACCATGCTGAGAGCAACGAACATACGGTCTACGCAAGGACCCCTAGCTCGAAACCTGGTATCTCGACGCCTTCTATTCGATGTTGTCTGGGGGCGCCTTTGCTCGTCACTGTTTGGAACTTCAGCGGTCGCAGGCATGAATCTTGATTTTCGTAGTCATCTTGCCTGCCTACTTATTCCCGATTATGTTTTGTCAGTCTTCAGCGATGTAACGAGTAGAGCATCCTTCTCGCGTTCGGTGAAATTTGGGGTCCCCCCGGTGGTTCTTTTAACTTGAAATGTTGGCACTAAAACCGTTGCCACCATAAAAATATTCTGCTATCATCCAATATTAAACACGCAACTACATAGGTAAAGAGATTTCGTGTTTATTTAAAAGCTTTGCCTGTTTTTGAAAGTTCAGCACAAAAATGACTGAATTTGGAGACGTTACATCGTTACTCGCCGCAAAAAGTTTGTTTAGATCTCGTGACTCCTCTCCGCCAATGATATTCGTCCCTCTGAGGGTTCCCTAGTTTGCGTGTCTATCCCTACATTCCCTACGCAAATCCAGCGTTTGGCTAGGGACCCGAGTTATGTTGGTGCAAACGGAATTTAAACTCGTGCTTAGCCGAGCTAGGTTTAAAACGCTAAGCCGACTTAGGAAAGAGCCGCTTTGGGTTAACATAAGCCGCGTCGGTTCAACCGGCTCTTATTGCTACAATTTTACGCAGAAAAAGGGTACCATTACAAGTGCTCCTTTCTTGTCGTTACAATGACCTCATCAATTGAATCAATTGATAAACCGGATTGCCAGTCGGACAAATGTCTGTACCCAGCTCCAACCATGGACACTCACGCAGGGAGAGAGCTCCGGCTCCCATGAGCATTCCCCAGGGCATCCGAGTCCAGATGATGGTCTCCCCGCGCAGCAGGTACAGCGCGAGGAACACGGGCCAGACGAACAGCAGGTTGAGGAATCCGATGAGGGTGAAGAAGAGCGACAACTGGCCGAACGACACGTCTCCGATCAACTTCTTGAATGTCACCTGCATGAATAAATAAACGAACGTCTAGAATAATAATAATTATTATTATTATTATTTTAACAACAACAATAATAGTAATCATAAATAATAATAATGAAAATAAGATTATTATTTATTTAAAGTGCCCAAAACAAAAACAGTGCTCCTCAGATAGCCGCACTTACACAAAAGCAATATAAGTAAGGAACAAAAACGTACACAATCCCACTGATGGCAAGCAAATAAAAAATTAGTACAAAGCATACAAAAAATGAGGTGTTTACACATCTCTGTGATGCGAAATTAGAGCGCAGCTCCTGAGGAGGAAGAGGGGAGAGTACGGAGGAGAGGGGATGTCCCTCCTCCTCATCCGTGCCCTCTCCTCACCCCTCCTCCTCTTTTCTCCCTCCTCCTCCTCCGTACCCTCCCCTTCTCCTCCTGCGTGTCTTCCAATCCTCCTCCTCCGTACCTTCCCCTCCTCCTCCGCACCTTCCCCTCCCCCTCCTGCGTGCCCTCCCCTCCTCCCCCCACAATATCCCCGCTAAATTTAGCAGAAAAATTGACGCCAGGTGACCTCAACACCAATTCACTTTCCCCGCTGAATTCAGCGGGGGAAATGAATTCACATGACTTGGTGTCTCGTCACCTCTGAACAAAATCGGTTTCTCTTCTAGATTTAGCGGGAAAATTGACGTCACGTGACGTCAACACCAATTTAATTCCCGGCTATTTTTAGCGGGCAATTGAAGTGGCGAAAATTGACCCTCCGTGACCTCAACACAAATTCAATTCCCCACTATTTTTAGCGGGGAACCTGGGAATTTGGTATTATGGGAGCAAACAAAATTAATTGAATTGACTTGGTGTTGAGGTCTCGTGACGTCAATTTTCCTGCTAAATCTAGAGAAGAAACTGAATTTCCCCGCTAAATTTAGCGGGGAATTGAATTGGTGTTGAGGTCACGTGACGTCAATTTTCCCGCAAAACTGAGCGCGGTTACGCCGACGCCGCCGACCGGAAACACGGAAAAGGGCGCCTAAGTGCGGCGGAGTAGCGACACTCATACATGGCTTGCACTGACGTCACATCGCATACTTTTGACCACCGTGTAAGAGGAGAAGAGGGAAGCTGCTTTTGCAAGAGTTTTGAGTGGCGGATTAATCTTCTATAATCTTCTGGAAGGAGAATAGCGACATCTCTACAAGTCCGGGAGGCACAAAAAAGGATCTAAGTAAGAGGGGAGCTCCTTCTTCCCCTCTTCTCTGGTGGTCATCGCAGCGCTCTTTGAATGACGTCACGTGCAAGCCATGTAATAATAATAATAATAATAATAAATCCTTTATTGCACAGTCTTTTGTACAGTGAAATCGATGGCCCACTTAAGCGCGCAAGCGCTTGTGTGCGGGACCATGGCAACCCAGCAACGCACTCAAACACTGCATACATCTCGCTCAAAACAAAAGTAAATGATGGCAGTCACATCTTGCTCAAAACAAGTGTACAGAATGTTAAAATCGTGGTGACGAGTCCGCTGGGAAAATAGATAATACATGAGAATTGATAACATTTATAATTCAAACCATTCCTTGAGCTTCTGTTTGGCTACTTTTAAAGATGGCAAGTCGCATAAATCTTGAGGAAGTTTATTAAAGTAGGAGGGAACATAGTATTTTCTTAAACGTCGTCCGTAATTTGTGTCTACCATAGGGACAGAAAAGGTTTCCGAATGTCTTAGGGTCTTTTGTCTGGTGACTCTGTGCTTGTAATTATTATTATAATAATATTTTATTAGAACAACAAATTCCATTAATTGCTCTATTTGCAATATTTGGAGGGAGGCCAATTTTTCTGCTTTATCAAGGTTTTCATATTTTGAACCATAGGCAATGCTAGTTGCAATTTTATAAATTAGTTTATTTAATTTTTGTTTTCGGTGGGAAGAACTGGAGCCATACACAGTGATTCCATACCGCAAGAGAGAGCAACCGAGCGCTTCGTAAACTTTTTTCCTGATGTTAATATCACACAAATTTCTTAGTTTATACATATACGCCAAAACCAATCGTAGGCGTTTTACTAAATGTTCAATGTCGCTATTCCATGTTAAGTTTACATCAGAAGTTAGTCCTAAATATTTTGTTTCTTGAACATATGTTAATGGAGAGCAATTACAAGAACCACAGTCGCTTGAATGTAAAAAGATAGGATGTATAAGGTTTACTCTTTTTTTATGTGCCCGGAAGCACATTAAGTTGGTTTTGGCTTTATTCACAAATATTGTATTCCATGAAAACCAGTCTGCTAAGCTATTTATATATCACTTTGAAATATGGGAACAGCGTTATCGTAGTTTTTGTGTGCTAATACAATCGCAGTGTCGTCCGCGTATTGAAATAGCTTAGACTTGAGGAGTATTTTGTCTAAATAATTTATGTAAATATTGAATAGTATGGGACCTAAAACCGACCCCTGAGGCACACCAGAGGTAACGAGCAAAGGTTCACTAAAACTGCGTCCTATCCGTACTCGTTGTGCCCTGTTGTGCAAGTAATTCTTGAAAAACTGAAGAAAGGGACCTCTAAAGCCCATGTTTTCTAATTTACTTAATAACAACTCGTGATCAATTGTATCAAACGCCTTTTTTTAAATCTAGAAAAAGCGCTAAGATGATATAATTATTTTCTATTTTTTCGTTAATATAGTCAGTAAAATCTTCTAGTAGAAGAGTTTCACTTTTTTGCTGTCGAAATCCATACTGACATGTATTCAATAGGGAAAAGTTTTCACAAAATGATGGCATAATTTTGACTATATACTTTTCTATAATCTGTGATAGAACTGGTAAAATAGCTATGGGTCTGTAGTTGGACATCACCTTTTGATTACCCTTTTTGTATACTGGACGGACTAGTGCCACCTTAAACATTTCTGGAATTCTCCCTGTTTCTAAAATACCGTTTATTATGGCAAGCAGAATACTTTTTAGTTTCTCAAAGTTATAGAATATATCTCTTACTCTAATTCGATCGCATCCCTCTGGCTTAGTGAGTGGCATTTTTTTATTATATCACCGAGGTCTTGCTCAGTCATGGGCGGCAAGTAGGCAGAGTTTGGTGAACTAGAGACACTATACGGAGCACGTGTAGTTTTCGGTGCTTGGTTTCGCAGATCCCGTATTTCCTTCACAAAGCTGTGATTACACTTATTGCTTAAAACGTCAAAGTCTGTTCCAAAACGCTTCCGTATGACCTCATCAACGCTGCTTTTGAGGTTTTCCCAATGATTTTGTTCACTATGCCCCACGTTTTTTTTACATTTCCCTTTGACTGCTGGAACTGGTTATTGTGGTATTTCCTCTTCGCTAGCCGTATTTTTGCAGTTACTTTATTTCTGATTTCCCTAAATTCCCTGCGTAATGTGTTTGCAACGACTCCACAATCCCTGTGTTTGCAACGACTCCACAATCTATCTTTTGCGTAACACAATTCTAGTATTTCTTTATTTACCCAGTTATTTGCTGGTTTCCGTTGCCTTAATTTTATTTTCCTTTTGGAATCACCGTATATGCGTCCAAATCTATCCACCATCAGTTCGTATACTGCAACATGGTCATGTTCGAGTAATGAGTCCCAGTCATATTCACGAATAAGGCGGTCTATGATTTTTGAATCCAAGACATATCTAAAACCATCTCCATCACTATTGTATATGGTATCGGTTCTCAACACTTTTATGGTTATGAAATAATGATCAGCGACTTTCTGTTTTATAACCCCAGATATCGTTGTCAGATCACTAATTCTGATAATAGCATGATCTATACAGGTTCTAGTTACTTTGCTTCCTAAGTACTCTTCTCTGGTGTAGTCACGAATCACATCCTGTAAACCATAACTGGACAATAGATCAAGATAGTCTCCAACTTTGTACTTGCTGCGGTTCATAACTTCAATGTTCAGATCACCTGTGATTATTACTTGGTCATTGTTGTTATATCTTTTTAGTAAATTTTCGAACTCGTTGTAAAACAAATTCACATCCGCACTGGGTGGTCTGTATATGGCCACAACAAGAAACGAAAACTCATTTTCGCTCACAAACATAACTATAGTCTCAGCGTGGTCTAATGATACATCAACTTTTTCTGCTATCCAATCCTTTTTTATATAGATAAGTATCCCTCCTCCTTTTCCATTTTCTCTGCATACTGATACCGAGTGGAAACCCGGCAACTGATAAACTTTTTCATCTGCTGTTTTTATATGAGTTTCAGTTATAACTAAAATATCAAGACCGTTAAATCTGCTTTCCAGGTAGACATTAAGTTGATCCCAGTTTTTTTTAATGCTCCTTACGTTAATGTGAATTATGTTTAGTACTTCTTTAATTTTTCTTCTCTCATCACACGCCTGGCGTACTCGTCCCAGTGAACAAAACTGTTAAAAGAGCCTATGTCACTGACATCTTCACTCATTTATTTCAATTTGTTCAGATCTGCTCCACTTTCAATCCGGATCACCGCAGCGCCTTCTTTTTGTCTGACAAAGATCTGCCCATTCTTCACCCAGCTAAACTTATATTTCTTATCTCTGGCCTTGTTCTTTGTAACCCATAAGAGGTTCTTCGTAGTCGCCGTTAGATTTTCGTTTACGTATACACCGTCTCTTTTTAATGCTACTCGTTTTTTGATCCATAGGTCTCGTGTGTTCCTTTCCGTGAATCTTACGAGTATCGGAGCCACTCTTCCTTCTCGCGTTCTTAATCTGTGAACAGCCTCCACTGAATGTTCTGTTATTGGCGGCAGTTCTAGTTTTTCTGAGAGACTCTTCACTCAATCCAGTACATTCTCGTTTTCTGATTGTCTTACTCCATGAATCTCAATGTTCTTGCGCCAGGAGTATTGCTCAGTTCTGTTAATAACAACCTTCAAGTTAGTAATCTCGCAGGTTTGTTCCGAGATAATGACTTCAAGCTGAGTGGTTTTTGCTGTCAGCTCAGCAATCTCCTTCTCCTGGTGCTCAGATCTTTTGAGTAGCTCGTCATACTTCTTCAGCGCTGTTTCTAGTTTCGTGACCTTCTCTAAGACGCTAGTTAGTTTTTTTGTTCATTTCAGCTATTTCGGCTGCTACGCCCACTGGTTCAGGCTCCCCCAGCAGTGAGGAGTGTATGTATAAAGCGACTGAGTCTGAGAGCGGGGTAAAGCATTGCATGGTGAATTAATATTTAAAAATATATATATATATATATATTAAACGTCTAACAATAATTGTATTTTATGTACAGCCGGAAGTTAGTCAGCCTTGGTGGGCGTTCGGCTATAGATGAGAAATTTAGCCAGTGCATTTCAACCATTGCAGTGCAGTGCAGTGCAACGTAGGCCACGCAGTAGTGACGCACAACCGCGCGCCGTTATGATTTTCATCCAGATTGAAAAAGGAGGGGTGGGGATTGAACCCAGGATCCCTGGGTTTGCAGCGTGAGCTTTCGCTACACTCCCTCCTAGCTCCAGAGCGAGAGCGAACTTCGATTCTGCCCCTAACTCAGCAAATCTAAAGCAGTCTTTTTAAATGATTCAGCAGGCCTATGTTAAAAAAAACAGTGACTTGTAGAGAGCGTTTTTAGGGGTATTCGCGCTTCAAGAATAGGAAAACATCAATGAAAGAAAAAAAGAGGTTGAAGAAGATCGTCTTACCTCTCTTCGTCTCTCTGCGGTGTTGTGCCGTTCTTGAAGCGCGAGTACCACTCAAAATAATTGGCACAATTCACTTATTTATTAGATAAGCCTGCTGAATCATGTGAACGGTATCTGTATTAGATTTTCAGAGTTTAAAGCAGAACTAATGTTTTTGCTCTCTTTCTGGTTTGCAGTCTATGAGAATTCACCATTGTGCTCATGTACGAGGTCACAAACACTCGTGTAGCGTAACTCCAAATCTTCATTGAACAACGTCTTTTGGCATGATCAGACAAGAAGGTCCCTGCCTTTGACTACTGCACGCGCATCATTGTGTTGCCTGTATTTTGTACGCGACAGCATCAGTCTCGGAACATTAGGACCGTACCTCAAGAACGATGTCGAAACCAGAGCAACAAATTTAGCTTTGTGATAACACAGAATCTCTCAGAAGGTGCTAATATTTTTGTTTTACTATGAAATAAGCGTACTACGATTAATTGTTGAACAATATCCGACGAATGTTCCCCCGCGACTCTGCTTGCACTCACTCCCTCCTATGACAAAATTCTGGACTGCATTTTCACAAAATTGTGGCTCAGTTTCGCAAATGACATGTCCAATATTTCCCTTGAGCTCAATAATTATTTGTTATTTGTTGGCATAAATATGAATTTTTACAAATGACAGGAAAATACGTCGCACAGTATCAAATTACACGACATCTGTGTGGTTAATTCTGTCGACCAATGCGTGAAATGACACGGGAAGACAATTTTGGCATAATCAATAATGTACCTGAAACATATTCGAAAGAACTGTCAGATATTTTGCCCCATTCACGACACTCTTTGAGCTCCATGCATAAAAAATATATCGCCAGTTATTAAAACAAATTATGCGTTTTATTGCAAAACTAAATATTGCGCTCTCGTTGCGAAACACAACAGAAGTATCTAAGTGGCGCTTTAGATCATTTACTTGTACTAATAAACATAACTCCACTTCAAGATTATTAGGATCTATTTAATTTTAACTCGGCTGGCTTCGAGGTTCTAGATAGGGTAAACGACACTAGACCACGGCTTACCTTGTAGACTCCAGATCCGGCGGCTGCTCCTGCGGCTAGAACCACGCCTGCGAGGGTTATGGTGCGGGTGACGCCATCCATGTATGCTAGCAGGGCGATGCCCGTGTTGCACAGGATAACGGCAACGATCTGGGGAAAAAATGAAACAGTTCGTTTGCATGGGCGCATTTATTCAACATATTAAGAATGTTCCGACGATGCTTCCAAGTATGGTCCTAGACAAGCTAGGAGGTGTAGAGGGTGGTTTCTGCGCTCCGGCTTCGTGCATATCATTCGTTTTTGCCCTTTCTGTTGGCTAATGCTCTCGAATAATTGCCTAAATAATTTTATTGGTTGCATGTAGAGCGATAATAAGAACGTTGGGACTCACCAAGCCCTGCGCTTTTTAAACTGGCGGTAACTTTTTTAAACATTTACAGCAACAGCGTGACTGCACAGAAACGTTCCATAAATACAAACGGTGGCCGATGGCGTCGGCGTCCTTCTACGTTTTCCGAGAAAATCGTCGAAAGGATGCAAGACCGCATACGTCGTCGACTATTTTAGGGACACCAATCTGACTCTGCTCACTTCCGACAAGGAAGGTGGTTCTGTGGTGGTAACTCGGGACGTGTTTGGTCAGAAGGCAGAACAAGCAACACTTAAAAGCTTCAAAAAAGTGAACACAGGTTCCTAGTCTAAAGTTAAAGCCCGTGCTAAAGAGATTTGCAATGAATTTAACTTAACGGGGGTGCAAAAAAGAGCTCAATCAGCCACCGGTTTGCATCTGAACATTTTCTTGGCCGTAAAACGCACAAAATGGAGAATCCCTTTAGTGCGATTGTGACGGAAAAGGGCTCGTGCATGTTCATTTGTCTAGATTCCTCAGCAAACACTTGTCAATTTTGAAGTTGTACGAATCTTTTTTGGTCCAAAATTCTGAGAGTGTCGTTGCATTTCTGGAGGAAGGAGCGCGCGGTTTTCACAGTGACCCTTCTGTAGATGTTGAAGATAATTTTTTTTCTTATTCAGCACCGCATGAGCCACTGCTTTGTGCGGTTAGAAAGTGCATCCAGAAAAAATGGAGAGGTGCCGTTTAATTCTTCCAGTGGCATTCGCGTGGACAGTTTCCTGGAACATTTAACTTTTCACCTTAAACACGCGTATGTTTCGTTTGAAGGGGACCTGAATGCTCAGAGGGGCATTTGCACTGGGTCCTGGGTGGCGCCAGTTTTATGCGACATGTCTTAAGTGGCTGCGACAACGCCATCTTAGAAAAGCTGGGAGTCGCTGGCAAGACCAGGATTTTTAGGTATGTAGGTGATTACCTTATTTTCAGTGAGGTAGCTGAGGCATTCCTGGTGGATGCCGTTTCTGAGATGATGCTTAACTTTTGTGGATGCGCGAACGGGCTGATGTTTACCTTTGAGACATCCACTGAAGGCAAGTTACAAATTTTAGGCCTTAAACTTAGATTTCTGGAAGAACACATGTCGGGCTTATGAGCCGAGATCCAAAAAAAGCTATCCGGCCATTTGGGTCGGCTCACTCTAAGTTAGTTAAAGGGGACATCGCTAAAACACGCTTAGAGGCCACTCTGAAGAAATCTTGCGGGCTTTCCGTTCAGGAAAGTTTCGCGCGACAAATCGCAAAGCTGGAAGAGGGTGACTTTCCGCAAAAATGCCAAACCGAGGTCGCGGAAATCTTGTTAAAAAGCCTCAGAGTTATAAAGAAACCAGCTCACGAGAAACCTAATATGAGGCCAGCGGTTATTCTATATCTTACACGTATAATCACTTAACCTAAAGAAAAGGCCCAACGTTTCAACGTTCCGTGGTTTTCTCAGCTCCAAATTGAATGGTTCGACTTTTCCACGAAATCAACAGTTCCGGAAACAGTCTGGTCCTCGCAGCAAAACGCACAAAAGTAAATTTGCTGAGTGTGCCTCAGGAGTTGCTTATGAAATACCTCTGCCGTGCGGCGCTGTGTATATTGGCCAGACGGGCAAATGCGTGAAAGACTGCGCCCGCGAGCATGCGGCTGCCACGCGAGCCAGCCCGACTGGTCATCTTGCTATTCATTGCAACAGATATCCATGTACGCCTGTTCTACGTGACATTAAGATTTTCGCTCAGTACAACGATAGAATTAACTGAGAGCTGCATGAGGCGTTTGAAATCCTAGAAAAGGGTGCAGATTTGCATAAGTGAAGCGTCATTTGCCCTATCGAAGAAAGAGTTTGAGTATATTAGACAAGCATTGCATTGATACGGTGATGAATGACACGTTGTTGTGGGCCTATATTATGAATGTCGTTTTTTCCGAATAAACAACAGTTGCGAGAGCGCCTTGCGTTTGTTCAATTTGTCTTCGGTCTTGTTTGTATTTTCCGGCGCTATTACTTTTTAAAGAATAAGAACAAACTAGCCCACCTAACCACTTTGCTGGGTGTGATAAATTCACCGCTCAAAGAGAGGTGGAAAATGTTTAATTGTTCTCAGTTTATTCTCTCATTTATTATTCTTGTTTACGACTGAATAGGGCTTGAAAACACACTTAAAAGGCGGGGTTACGCACCCTGATCCCGACGAACTGCTCGTGGAGGATGACCCAGGAGAGGAGGTAGACAAAGGACACGTTCGACGCGTAGAGCGCCAGCACATCCGTCGTGTCCAGAATACGGAGGGAATAGATGAGCGCGTAGTTTGTGACCACCCACAGCAGGCAGAACAGGCCGCAGCGGGAGAAAAACTGCGAGAAGCTGAAACGCTTCTCCTGCAGCTGCGTCAGCGTCTCGCTAGGAAAGAAGAAAAAAGCGTATGAGCATCGCTATGGTACCGAAGACACAATGTGTCTTAATTGTTCATCGCCATAAAAGAAAAATATGTTAAGGTTGTGGGCAACGCTACACGGGTATCGTGGCCAGAGCGTATTGTAGCAAGGTGCCGTGGCGACCGCGTATTGATTGATTCAGTGTATGATGTGTTATAAAACCCGAAGCTCGGCCTATTATCGGCCAGAAAATGGTCCCCTGCAACCTCAAAATCTCATCTAAGATGTATTTTAGTGGTTCATTCCACCTTGTGAAATTCCAAGACGTAAATAAGTTTCTGTAAAAAATATATCGACGCTCTCCCTAATGTAAACCGCGGATAACGATGCAGGTGACCGAGTTAGAGCTTCTGGTGCAATCTACCAATAGCCGCAGGAAGCCGACAACGATTTAGTTTTCTTTTGACTGAGTGTTTCTTCTGCTTTCTGCTATTAGATTCGATTAGCATCACAGTTTTGACTTTCGAAGTATCAAAGTTTTGGCGAACATTTGAAAATTCCGAATGGTGTCTTCGATAATTCCTAGGTTCTTCGCATCACGATTCACGTTATTGCGCCCGCGTTTTGGAAGCCGGCTTCAATTTTTCGTACCAACACGCGCGGGGCAAGATTTACTGCTTTCCACCGGCGTTGTTAGGTAAAGTCTGTCAAAGCTCCTTGGTTGAGACAATGGGCTTGGAAATTTTGCTAACCACTGTAAGTTAGGCTTCCTTGGTTTTGATTGCACATTTGTCTTTAATTTGTCAGTACATGAAGAAAAATACAACACCAAGCTATATTTAAATATAAAAAAGGTAGTCATTGCTTCATTTACGTCTGGTTACTATGCTTTACCCTACTTGCATTATCGTGGCGTTTTGTTTTCGATTTCAGCCTAGAATTAATCAGGATGTCAAAGCTTAATTCACAATAAATGTAAATTCAAGTTCGAACAAATTCAAACTCGGACTGCTCTTGTTTAAATATTCGTATTCGATACTAAGTCGCGTAACATCATAGCATCACCTGGCTACATTTTTCCTCAAAATGTATCTAAAAAATCAACGTCACGTCATGTGGTCGCCTGACGTGACGTCACTGTCTAATCGTGGTGTTACGTAACACCATAACGTCACGTAACGTGGTCACGTAACCTAACATCACTCGACGTGACATTGGTGTCGAGTCGTTAAGAAACACGACTTCATGTGCCTCAGTTTCACCGCTAAATTTAGCTGAGAAATGCACGAACGAACGGATATATTTTAAAACAATGTACGTGCGTCAAAAGGGATTCCATGTTTTAATATTTTTGCATTGTTATTTGCCGGTTTAATTTTGGCAGAAAAAAAACGTATCTCAGAGTCCGATTGATTCTGATTGTACCGTGAAAATATTTCTGGAACAATAAAATAAGTTCGATAAAAGGAATTTTTCTATTAAACTATGCATTAAACAACACTCGTATGTGGTTCTAGCGGTGCGGTCGACACTCATAGCGGTGACCGCGTTCCTCTCGGCCCGGACGTAATTTTTCGAACTCTGAGCGGAGGAATGCGGTACGAGGGGGCGACAGGAAAGGAGAACACGACAAACAGACAACGCCTGAGACGACTGCTGACGACCGGCCAGTACAGAGGCTAACATCGCATTCTCGGCTACAATCAAACTGGCCATAAAATCCATCAGTTAAATTAATTATAATTTAGTATAAACGACATTCGTTTCCTTATGTTCAAAGTCGCAATTTTATGCAACAACACAATTCTTGGAAATGAGCGCACCACTACTTGGCGCGATTATTGAATCAAAGACGAACGTACATTAGAACATTCTTGGCTGTCGTCTTTTCAGTTCTAGAGCAAAGGCGTCCCATCAGGAAGATGGGGAAGAAGAAGGTGTTGAAGCTGGCACACACCCACGTCGTAAAGAAGGGTGCGTCGAATGTCACCTGGGGAGGACAGGTCAAGAGCTCGAGTCAGTAGATACAAAATTTACATCCAATATGGTATCCCTTAAGCTGTCTATGATGCCGTTTTGCTACAAAGCTGTGATGTTTCAGTAAAGTTAGCTATAATAGTATACGCACGCTTGCAAGCAACCGTGATTCGCTTTGTACCCACACCAGTGTCACAGTGAACGAAGATTAACAAAAAAGAAATCAGAAATAAGTCCACACCTTCCCGGCAAGTGTGCCGCTTAAATGTTGCACCCTTAAAAAACCGCATCAAAGTTCACGTCTCTCTGATCATTTTTTTCAATAATAACTTAGACGTTTCTCTCCCCAGACTACAGGGTGAGGCCTTAAGGAATAAGACATTTGGCACGCCTTGAAATATTTGAATTCCAAACACGCATAACTGAAATTGGGCACGCGAACGCAGTTTCCCCAAAAAGTTCTATGACTATATTTTAGAGCTCAGCTCGGAGGTGTAAAGTATTAAAATAAAATAAAGACAACGGCGGTTCATTTCCAATGCCATATACTGGGTGTTCGTCGTCTGACACTGGTTGATGAGTTGCTCCCAGGTGGTAATTGAGAATACATTTTGTCAAAAATATTGATTATCCCAATTATTTTGCTCATTGGCAGCCTCTATTGTTAATTCTGAGCGTTTTGTTTTCGCGCTGAGCAAGCCACTGGGAGCGAGCTTATGAACCTGTGTGCAGACGATAAACAGGCTGCTATAGGACTTTGGAAGTACAGGCCCTCCGATTTTGCTTTTTCTTTACTATTTCACTACTTTGAGTCGCGCTTTAAAACATAAACATAAAATTGTTTCCGAAACTACGTTCGCGTTTCCAAGTTCAGGTATCTACGTTTGGAATTCAAATTTTGTCAGTCGTGTCAAATGTGTTGGCCCTTACGGCCTCACCCTGTAGGCTGAACATTTGCCAATACTTTTTTAAATTAATCTTTTGCCCTGTCTATGAGAAATAGTCTCTTCTAGTATATATATATATATATATATATAAATATATATCATTTATGGTGAGAGAATTATAGATCAAAATTTGAAAATATACAAGAATCACAACTTAAGCACGGTAAAGATACACATGAAACTAGCATGTCATTTCATCATAAGAAGTCGGAAGTGGTTTTAAAGCAGACGGGCACAGTCAAACGCAAATGTAGGAACCAGTCTTTGCTGGCAGACAAATCCGTCATTGCATGATAGAGCCCGCTCTGGCACCTCGGTGATGTTGAGGCGTCCTTCCCGGGTGAGCCGCTGGTTGGCGGGGCTGTTACTGGTGGCGAAGGTGGCCTTGAGCATGTGGGCGGCGCCCACCCAGGAGGCGGCGATGAGCAGCGTCATCAGGAACCCCACGGACACCTTGCGACTGTTCTCGTTGCAGCAGCGCTTGTCCGGCTTGGCCGCACCGTCGCCGGACCCCGGACCGTCGCCTGAGGAAAAACAAGGGCGGGACACGCTACGTTACACAAAAACCTTTTTTTTTCATCTTGTTATTGAAGGGTGTGCAACTACGCCAGCCTCATCACTCTAACAAGTGTGGTTATCATGTTTCCCGCAAAACACTTGAGAGGATCCATCACTGCAATCTCCGGAGGAAACTGGTCGAATGACAGAGCCGGAAATATGTTTTCGCCCATAAGTGTAGTCTGCGCTGTGGCACTGAGCATGATGCAACGTATTGCTGAGTGCCGCAGCCGTAGACTGTTTCTTTTAAACGCGAAATGTGAATTGGCTAGAAGTTCGACCTTTTGTGAAGGCCAAAAGTGGAGCCTGGATAAAATCGTGGCCCCGAGGGTCGACTTTGATTGGTTGACGAATGGGAGTGTAGGGGTGAGGTGCTCGGCGATGATTGGTAAACAGGGAAGTCATGTTGTTAGAAGGGTAGGCGAGAAGGAATGAGATAGGCGAGGAGGAGCTCGACGACCTCTGCGCACTGCGGGAGAGGAGCTCGCAAGTATGGAAGGCTCTAGAAGATTGCCCGGTTTATCAGCCCGATTAGCGGAAGTATAGCTTCATTTTAGGAACAACTATCACGTGTACACATGGTACGCATTAAACTGTCTGATAAAGAGTGCCGTGAACGTAGACTTCTGGAGCCTGGAAACTCAAAGTAGCGCTGAGCGTTTGTGATGCTGGAACGTTTCACCTACGTTGCACAATTGCCTAGCAATTCCCCACATAAATTTCAAGTTTAAGCATTTGCTCAGGCTCATCATTCAGCGAGCCCCCCGTAGACTGTAGCAATTGCCTGTCCCAACTTCACTGCGGCAAAGTAGACGCTGAGATTTCTTAGAGTGTATAGCATACAACTGACCCAATAAATATCAAAGCCTCGATTTTAAGATTACTGAGCTCAAGTTTGAATGATATAAATAAATTAACCGATTGAGTGAGATGCTAAAATAATCTAAATTCCTTCGACGTTCTGTGGTCTAAGACTCGATCGGATTTTTTCTGCGCTGCTGGTCCCCACAACCTTCCTTATATTTGATCAGTGAAGAAGTACAAATAATGGGACCTAAACAGGATTTTGTCTCTGGTCTGACAGAAGCATTTTGAAACACGGGGATGTGCTTCAAATAAGCGTGGCGGTCCATTTTAGCTCATATAGCTCATTCAATCTCACTAATATGTGTCAATATTTGATACAAAATAGAATATTTCAAGGCCCAATGCTATGCAAAGTTACCTTCTTGGCTGTCTTAGAATAAAAGCTTCTCAAAATTCAGACTGTTTTTGTATTTAATTATTTTTTTCTTAAATATCAACAAAAAAATTAGATTAATATTTCAAAAACCAGATACTGAACCAACCAGGCGCCACATCGTCTGCTCTTTAAAACAAAAGCTTTAAAAGTATACAGTTCATTTGTAGCAAATAAACGAACGGGAAAATTGCTTTTCTAAACCCTGTCCTTGCCCTAGACCACATACATTTCTTCAATAACAATACATTTAGGTTCCTGCATGCCTTCCACCCCCCCCCCCCCCGCCCACCGCACCAGTACACTTTTATTATGTGTACTATTAGAAGCACATGCTCTAATGTTTCGTTTGAATACATGAAACATAGTTCTCAGTTAGATTAATTTCCATCGGTGGTCTTTAATCTCAACTCAGTATTTGATATCGTTTCGGCTCGGGCAGAATCGAGCTCCTCAGTAGAGAAGTTTGACAGACGATAGGGTGCCACATAACTGTGGGGCTCAGTGTTTTCTGTAGATACCCATAAATCCCGAAAATTAGCTCCCCGAACGGGTTTTATTGAAACCGAAGAAAAACGAAAAAACTCCGAATCGGAGCTGTCCTTCAATAGGTAAAAACCAAGCTTCACGTAATGCAAATATTTGTATAGTGCTTAACCTTGCGCTGAACTTCTTTAAGTAATAGACCCTTTTCAAACATTTATCGAGCAACCTTGGCTGTCGCCGTTGATTGTGCACGAAGCGCGTGGTTAGATCCGAGTCCTCAAGGAACGCTGACGTCAGGCTCGTTTTCAATACATGCTCAGAGTATGTTATCACAGCAATGGCGGACAGGCGATGACGCGGAATTTTGAAAAGGGTTCATTGGGGCACGCCTTCGTTCACTCGAGGCTGAGAAATCCCATGTGTTTATTGTATGCAACAAACACCCCGATAATCCCGAGTATTTTAAACGAGCACAAAAAAGCATCATACCGAAAAGCAACGAATTCGCGGCAAAAGAAACCCCAAACCCTCCCTCCCCCCCCCCCCCCCCCCCCCCCCAGACACAGGCAGAAAAAAAAAAAGAAAAAAAAAACACGGCACTAAATATTTTTGTTGTGCCAGATTCTGCGAGGAGAACACACATTGTTTCTGTTGTCGTCCACTGGCGATTTCCGGTTACAGGAAACCTCTATACGAGTTCCGATTGGTGCCCTAGATACATTCATTGAAGATAATGTAGTCAGAGAAATGGAAGTCTAAAAGATCGTTTCATTAGTATATAAGCTACACTCCAAAATATGTATGTTAGTTCACCTTTCCGCAGCGCCCGTAGGTACCCAATCACAGCAAACAATAGAGGATCACAGCGAATTACGAACCTCAAAATTTGGTTTAACCAAAGAACAGTGATGCACGCGGGCAGAATGAACAAGACGATTCCTTTGATCATTTTCTCGGCGCATATCGCACTGTTCAGATCTCATCGTATTCTGAGCTTTGTGATTCGCTGGGTTCTTTCTTTTATTTGTAGCGATAGGGCTACCTTCACATTCTGCAGGAAGAGGAACATACAGTCGTTTTGAGATTTGAGACTGAGCACGTCATTTTGAAAAAGTGACTTTATATATTTGGATGCCGGTTTTTACCATATAGTGACTCCACTTGTAGCTCTTTTATTTGCTTTTTGTTGTACTCAAAATCAATGTGTACTCGTAGTCGAGGTGCACACATTTTTTATATATATTTGCAACGCGAGACATTGAAAATAGGCGATGCTGGAGTCTTTGGCAAATCACGGGTGAGCAGTTATTTATCCGTCAGGAATTACCAACCACTTTATTAAAAGATTTGTAACTTCGAAAACTATATATCGCTGTTTATGCTGTGTCTCAATTTGTACTTGCCTGCTTACGTAGCGGGAATTTATGTATGGTGCTTTTGGTGGGTTTACAAATGTAGCCATGTGGACACAGATTGTTTTATGGTGAAGAAACATGTTGAGCAGGTACCTTCTTAAGCGAGCTTATAGCCCGTGGCAATGCTATACAGGTTATGTTTATAAAGTAGGTGTTAGAAGAAAATATACCTTTTTGACATCGCATTTCATCTGCAAGCTCGTCGAGAGCTGACGTGTGTGTTATACGTCAAGAGCTGTCAAGTCTACTCGTATCCAGACGCGTCGATGTCGAAACCGTACACTCCTCTGGCGCAGTGTCCAGCTTGTTCAATGCAATATCGACGCGCGGATCGATATCCCGAAAGAAAAGAAAGAAGAAAAGAAAAATAGAAGGAGAGAAAGAAGAAAATAAAATAAATAGCGAAAGACCAGCATGCTTCGATCCGTCCATCGTGACTTGAATCCCAACAGACAAGGTAGAGTAGGAAATTCTTTCCCGGAGATATCAAGCGTAGGTAGTCTACAACACGTTTCAAAGTACACAAACAGTTTCGAAATTACGCTGCGGATATGACTTAACTGCGTAACAATACTAGCTCCAAAAAAAGATCGTCGTGTTTTCTGCTGTTCTTCTCTTAGAGTCGAAAAGCGCTTATTAAAATATAATATTGCTGAAACTACTCCCACAGCTAAACTAGGCGGAAAACTTTGATGACGTCTATAAAATATCCAATTCCAAAATATATTCCAAAAAATAACTATGACGCGTTCGCGCTTACAATGTCGCGAAGTGAACGGAGAGTATATATTGAAGGTAGGAAGCATACGATGCAGTTCCGTGAAGCAAGGGCCGCTGTGGTAAAGCAAATGACCAGAAACAGCTGTCGACGACCAATATTGTTGTGTGTGTGTGTGTTTTACGATTATTTTACTGCGCCGTCAAGGTGACTTCACGGTGGCGTGTCCAGTTGAAGGAGTGACTACAGGCTGCATGACTTTTAGTTGCGCTACTTATATTTATATATTCACAATATTGTGACGGGAACTTTAGTCCCAAGTGGGGTGGGACGATGACAAGGCGTTGCAATATCCTGGCGTGCAGCTGACATAAAACACGTTATATGGTCTCCCTGAAGCGAGCAGCTCCAGCTATTCTTAAGAATCCCTCTACGTAGGCTGAATAACGACTGATTTATTGATTGATTGATTGGTTGATTATTTGACTGATAGAATGATTGACTGGTGGCTTATGTCAACATCGGGACGAGTCGCTCCTGCAAAATGATATGCATCGATCAGAAGAAGATTGATGTCTCTTGGATTTTGCCAATAAGCCTATTCAAAGAAATTAATAACGTTTGGTTTAATTACATTCCCAATCACATCTGAGTAATCAATATTTTAGTTAAAATCTGAAGATATAGTTTGCATTGAAAATTTCTGGGCACCATAGACAACCACCGATTTAGTGCAACTTACGGAATATATAAGGAACATGTGCGCAACAATTTGCGGCGTTCAAAAAAAAAAGAAAACTAAATATGGACGCGATGCTAGGTTTGGTTTCGTATCGCAGTGCATTTTTTTTACGCCAGCGGTCCTTCTACTCGCAGGCGAAGCACGCATCTAAACCGTCTAGTCTTCTTTGTCGGAGATAAGAAAGTATGGCACAAGCCGGCAAAATGAAATGCTGTACTCTTCGAATGACAATACAGAAGTGCACCTTGTTTCTTGGGCTCACCTCCGTCAAGTGAAGAATGTGTAGCGGCGAACTTTATCTGCGCGCTTTGGCAACGAAGGAAG